GACATTCAAGCTGGGTTTAGTAGAGGCCATGGCGCCAGGGATATCGTTGCTGATGCATTTTCGCTGAATGCAGAGAATATCAGGGGAGTGTCTTTGTGCTTTATTGACTATCCAAAGGCATTTGACTGGGTAGATCATGACAAATTATGACTAACATCAAGAAGAATGGGAATTCCAGAACACTTAACTGTGCTCATGCAAAACCAAAATCTAGAATGAGGCTACTGTGTAAACAAAGCAAGGGAATAAAGCATGATTTTAAATTAGCAAAGGTGTACACAAGGGCTGTATCCTTTTTTCATACCTATTTAATTAATATGCTGAACAAATTATTAGAGAAGTTGGACTCTGAACAATGTGGCATAAGGATTTGAGGAAGACTCATTAATAACTTTTGTTATACAAATTACACAACCTCACTTGCTCAAAGTGAGGAGGACTTGAAGCACTTGTTGCAGAAGGTCAAATAATACAGCCTTCAATATGGATTGCATCTTAACATCAAGAAAACAAAAATCTTTGCCACTGAAGTGATAAGACAACATAATGACAAATAGAGAAAAGATTGATACTGTCAATGACTTCACCTTACTTAGATCTACAATCAGTACACTTGGTACAATGATTAGATCAGGGGATGTATTGCACTGGGAACGTCTACAATTAGGGACCTCTCCAAATTATTAATGTGATGATGTCAGTTTGAGGACTAAAGTGCACCTGATTTAGGCTATGGTATTTTCAGTCACTTGCTATGAATCTGAGAGCTGGACCATGAATAAATTACAGAAGAATTGATGCCTGGCTTGTGATGTTGGACAAGAGTGCTGAGAATCCTGTGAACTGCCAAAAGAATAAACATATTTTGGAGAAGGTACAGCCAGACTGTTCTTTGGAGGAAATGATTAAGTTTCATCTCACCTACTTTGGGCATGTTGCCAGGAAAGGTTATTCTTTGGGAAGGGACATCGTACTTGGAAATGTGGAGGGATAACTGCATCTGCCTGAAGGACAGGAAGACCCATAACCAGGTGGATTGATACAGTGACTGCTGCAATGGGTTCTTATGTGTCAGGAAGTATGAAGATAGCACAAGACAGGATAGAGTTTAGATCTGTTATTCAGGGTTGTTATGAGACATACTCAATTTGATGGCACCTAACAACAATCAGAACAAACCACTGAAGCTCCCTGAGAAATAGAATAGCAAGTTATTTATATTTACATATTTATATATATAAATAAAATATATTTATAAACATATATAATCTGTAATGTGCCATGTGGACTTAAGAAAAACATGACTAAGGTCAGTGGTACATGTACGGTGTTGTTACTGTTTGTCATCCAGTCAGGTATATATCTCAAAGCAATCCTTTCTTTGCACAATAGAATAAAATGCTGCCCAAACCTGTGCCATCCTCACAACCATTGCTGTTCTAGCCCATGTTCAAGCTACCATGTCAATCCATATAGCCTATGGAATCATCTTTTTTATGATCTTTAACTTTACCAGTTTTGATATCCTTCCTTCTTCAGGGATTGGTCCGTCCTTGCTTCCATTGATCATTTGGACTTTATTTCTTCCAAGAGAGATTTGTTATTTTTTTTTCTGCCAATGAATGGTAGTATTCCATATATTTCACCAACATCATAATTCAAAGGCATCAATATTTTTCTTCCTTGTTCATGTCCAACTTTTGCATGCATGTTGTTTTTGTTGTTGGTAGATGTCGTCGAGTTGAGTATGACTCATGGTGACCCTATGAACAGAAGATCAGAACCCTGCTCTATCCTCACACTTCTTGACACACAAGAGCCCATTGTAGCAGTCACCATGTCAATCTTCCTCTTCTTTGCCAACACTCTACCCTTTACAACATCATGTCCTTCTCCAATGAATAGCCCCTCCTAGCAACAGGGCTAAAGTATGTGAGGCAAAGCCTCACCATTCTTGCCTCCAAAGAACACTCTGTCTGCACCCTCCCAAAGACATATATATATTTATTCTCTTGGCCGTCCATTGGATGTTCAGTGCTCTTTTCCCACACCACAGCTCAAAGACAGTAATTCTTCTATCATCCTTATTCATTGTCTAGCTCTCAGATTCATAGCAAGTGATTAGAAAGACTGTGATCTGAATCAGAATCATCTTAGTCCTCTAACTGACATCATTACTCCTCGATAATTTGGAGAGGTCCCTAACTGCAGATTTTCCCAGTGCAACACATCTCCTTATTTCCTGATTGCTGGTACCAAGGGTGTTGATTGTGGATCCAAGCAAGATGAAGTTGTTGACAGTTTCAGTCTCCTCTCTATCCATCACGATGCTGCCTATCAATCCAGTAGTAAGACTCTTTGTTTTCTTGACATTGAGAAGCAATCCATACTGAAGGCTGCATTCCTTGATCTTCTGCATCAAGTGCTTCATGCCCTCCTCACTGTCAGGAAGCAAGATTGTGTCATCTGCATAATGCAGTTTATTGATGAGTCTCCTTCCAATCCTAATGTCACACTCCTTTTCATAGAGTCCAGCTTCCTAGATAATTTGCTCAGTATACAGATTGAATAGGTATGGAGAGAGAACACAACCCTGATGCATTCCCTTCTCAATTCCAAACCAGGCAGTGTTCCCTTGCTGTGTTTACACAGCAGCCTTCTGGTCTAAGTATAGGTTCTGCATAAATACAATTAAGTGCTCTGGGATTCCCATTCTTCTCAATGCCATTCACAACTTGTTGTGATCATACAGTGAAATGTCTTTGCACATTCAATAAAGTACAAATAGACATTCTTCTGGTATTCCTTACTTTAAACCAGGATACATCTAATATCAGCATGTGTTGTTGTTGTTAGGTGCCATCAAGTTGAGCATGACTCATAGCAACCCTATGGACAAAAGATCTGAACCCTGTCCTGTCTTGAGCCTTCCTCACACTTCTTGATACAAAAGAGCCCATTGCAGTAGTCACCGTGTCAGTCCACCTGGTTGAGGGTCTTCCTCTCCTTTGCTGACCATCCACACTTCCCAACATCATGTCCCTCTCCAAGGAATAGCAACTCCTAACAACATGTCCAAAGTATGTGCAGAGAAGCCCCATCATTCTTGTCTACAATGAGCACTCAGACTGCATCATCTCCAAGACATATCTGTTCATTTTCTTGGCTGTCTATGGTCTGTTCAATGCTCTTCTCAAACACCACAGCTCAAAGACATCAATTCTTTTTCTGTCTTCCTTAGTCATTGTCCAGGTCTCAGATGCATAACTAATAATCAGAAATGCTATGGCCTGAATCATACATACCTTAGTCCTCAAACTGACATCACTACTCCTCAATAATTAGGAAATGTCCCTAACTGGAGATTTTCCCTGTGCAATGTGTCTTCTTATTTCCTGACTACTGGTACCAAGAATGTTAATAGTGGATCCTAGCAAAGTGAAGTTGTTGACAGTTTCAGTTTCCTTTCCATCCACTGCCTATTGGTAAGAATCTTTTTTTTCTTGATATTGAGACACAATCCATATTGAAGGTTTCATTCTTTGATCAACAAGTACTTCAAGTCTTCCTCACTTTCTGCAAGCAGGTATAGATTCTCCATGAGAATAATGAAATATTCTGTGATCCCCATTCTTCTCAATGTCAGCCAAAACTTGTCATTATCCACACAGTCAAATGCCTTTGCACACTCAATAAAGCACAAATAGACACTCTTCTGGTAGTCCTTATTTTCAGCCATGATCCATCTGTGATGCCTCAGACTCTTCTAAATCCTGCTTGAACTTCTGGCAGTTCCTTATCTGTATGCTGTTTCAGCCATATTTGAATGATCTTGAGCAGTATTTTGCTTACATGTGATATAAATGATATTGTTTGATAATTCCCACATTCAGTTGGATCACCTTTCTTGGGAATAGGAAGAAAGATGGACCTCTTCCAATTCATTGGCCAGATAGCCATCTTCCAAATTTCCTGGTGTAGACTGGTGAATGTATCCAAGACTGCATCTATAACTGAAACAAGTCAATTGGTATCCCATTGATTCCTGAATCCTTTTTATTTTTCCAATTCCTTCAGTTCAGCTTCCATTTCCTCCTTCATTACTCTTGGCTCCTGTACATATGGTACTTCCTGGAAATTTTCAGTGTCAATCAATTTCTTCTGGTACAGTGACTCTGTGTACTCCATCTTCTTTTGATGCTTTCTGAGTCATTCAATATATTGTCCATAGCATCTTTCAATATTGTAACACAAGGGTTAAATTTGTGTTTCAGTTCTTTCAGCTTGAGAAATGAAAAGTGAGGTCTTCCCCTTTTTATTCTCCAATTCTCTGCACATTCCATTATAATACTTTGCTTTGTCCTCCTGAGCTGCCCTTTGAAATTGTCTGTTCAGCTCTTTCACTTCAACTTGTTTTCCTTTAGATTTTGCTTCTCAATGCTCCAGTGAAATCTTTAGAATCTCTGCTGACATCCATTTTTATTTTTTCCTTTATCCTCTGTTTCTATAATGACCCTTTTGCTCTCTACATGGATGAAATCCTTGATATCACCCCATAATTTTTTTTGTCTTCTACCACTGGTGTTCAATGCCTCAAACCTATTATTAAGATGATGGAATTGATTCAAGATCATATCTTGGTTCCTGTGGACATATTTTAATTTTCTTTGGCCTCAATTTGAAGTTGGATATGAGTAATTGATAATCTTATCCACAGTCTTCTCCTGGCCTTGTTTTGAGCTTTTCCAACTATTTTTCCCACAAATATAGTCAATCTGATTCCTAGGCAGATCATTAGTAAAATCCACATTGGATCCTGATGGGTGTTTGGCAGCTAGGGGTAAACTGGACTTTTCTAATTATGTTAGTAGTCAAGGATAAGCTGATTAACTGTATTTGATGTAGTTTACACTCAGTTTGGATGGGGAATCTCTTGTGTAGGCAAATGGAATCTGGTAGGCTAGCATTTGTGAACCGGAGGTGGCCATTCACCGAATTAGGATTACCCTAACCAGCCGCAACGTAAAATCCGTGGAGAAGGTGTGTGCCGACTTGATCAGAGGCACAAAGGAGAAGAACCTGAAGGTGAAGGGACCGGTCAGGATGCCTACCAAGACTCTGAGAATCACTACAAGGAAGACTCCTTGTGGGGAAGGTTCCAAGACCTGGGATCGTTTCCAGATGAAGATCCACAAGCGACTCATTGACTTACACAGTCCTTCTGAGATTGTCAAGCAGATCACCTCCATCAGCATTGAGCCTGGAGTAGAGGTTGAAGTCACCATTGCAGATGCCTAAATCAACTATTTTAATAAATTGACTATCCGTTGGTTAAAAAAAAAAAGTTTGTTGGACCCAACAGCTGCAGACCCCGAGGCCTGGTATTGATTGCATTTGGAAAGAACATAGTTCTAAGTTGTGCAACACTTGTCTGTCAGTTTGCCTTACTGAAATTACTTGAGGTTGCTGTGATACTGAAATCTTTGCCACTGGTGTGTCAAATTCCAAAAGGGTTTCCCATTATGGATGGGCTTCAGTTAACTCCTTGATAAAGACAGACTAGGAAGCAGGATTGGCCATCTACTTTCTAAATAAAAGGCTTTTGAAAACCTTATGAACACTAAACAAAGAGGAGAGATACAGTAGCATCTTGGTAGAGCCCAGATTGGAAGTCAAATTAGAAGTCAATGAGGAAAACCATAACAAATATCATTTAACAATTGATCAAGTCGGTTAGGCCCAAGAGTCCAGTGTTATTTACTTCGGAGGAACATTCTTCTAAGTTGTACAGCACTCCTCTGTCGATTTGCTGTACTGAGGTAATCTGGGTTTGCTTTAATGCTGAACCTTGTGCCATTGGGGGGGGGGGTTGTCAAATGCTATAATGGCTGTCCATGGTAGACAGTGTTTGGTGGAGCTCCCAGTTTAAGACAGGTTTGGAAGTAGGACTGGCATCTACTTCTTAAACCACATGTCTCTGGAAACTCTATGAACTTGGAGAAATGACAATAATTATAGAAAGGCTTCAGGCCTTTTGTTCATAGAATCTCAGTAAGTCGTGCTCAACTTGATGGCAATCAACAACAACAACATGGAAAGTACATAGTTTGAATGTTGGAAAACTGGAAATTGTTAAAAACGAAATGGAATGCATAAATATCAACACACTAGGCATTAGTGATATGTGTTGGACTAGCTATGGCCACTTTGAATCAGATAATCATGTAGTATACTATGCAAGAAATGAAAAACAGAGGAAGGATGGTGTTCCATTTATAGTAAAAAAGTCAATTTCAAATTCTATCCTGAAATACAATGTTGTGACTGATAGGATAATATCCATATTCATACAGGGAATATTCATTAACACAACAATTATTCAAATACATGTGCCTACATCTAAAGGTGAAGAGGAAGAAACTGATAATTTTTACCAAATTTTTCTGTCTGAAATTGACCAAACATGCCACCAGGATGTGTTAATGATAACTGGTAACTAGAATGTAAAGTAGGAAACAGTGAAGAAGGACTAGGAGTAGGAAAATATGTGCTTGGTGATAGAAATGAAACAAGAAATAGAATGATTGAATTTTGTATTTACAATGATTTATTCATTGCAAGTAATTTTTTTTTTCTAAAAGACACAAAAGATGACTTTACACACAGAACAGCCTATGAGGCAATTGAAAATGCCAAGTTTTGGGGTCTGGTGCACCTTAGTCCTCAAGGTGACATCTTCACTCTTTGTGACTTTTAATTCTCAATAATTAAAGAACCGTATTTCTTTTTTAAAATTGTGGCTTGAGTGAATTTTACAAAACATATTTTCCCAATCATTCATGCATATTTTATTCCATGACATCCTACAATGCACACAATATCGGGTCATTATTTACATGATGTGAGCCATTGTTTGATTCTTTGACTGTTGCTTCTAGGATGCAGATTGTGCATGGAAGTAAAATTAATTCCTTGGCAATTTCAACTTTTCTTCATTTATCTTGATGCTTCTTATTGGTCCAGTTGCAAGCATTTTTGTTTTCTCCATACTGGAGTGTAATCTGTACTGAAGGCTGAACTCTTTGATCTTGATCATGAAGTGCTCCAGGTCCTCTTACCTTCCATCATGCAAAGCTGTATCATCTGCATATCATAGGTGGTTAAAGACTTGTCCAATTTTCACCAATCTTCACGCTCAGTTCTTCACATAGCCCAGCTTCTGAGATTATTTGCTTAATGTACAGATTGAAAAAGTATTGTAAAGGGTACAACTATGCCTTTTTACATAATGTTCTTGTGGTTGTGTATATTATCAAGTCAGAACCAACTCATAGCTGACCCTCTAGTGGGTTTTCAGGAACAGATAATTACAAGAGAGGAGACTGCCTATACTCCTGTAGAGCATCTGGTGGATTTCAACAGTGTACCTTCAAGATTAGTAAGTAAGGAGTAATAATGTCACTTTGAGGACTAAGATGCATCTGATTCAGGCCATAGTCTTTCTGATTACTTGCTATGCATCTGAGAGCTGGACAATGAACATGGATGACAGGAAAAGAATTGACACCTTTGAGCTGTAGTGTTGGAGAAGAGCACTGAACATCTCATGGATGGCCAAGAAAAGAAACATATGTCTTTGGGAGAGTGCAGCCAGAGGGCTCTTTGGAGGCAAGAATGAGGAGGCTTTGTCTCACATACTTTGGGTATGTTGGTAGGAGGTGCTATTCCTTGGAGAAGGATGTGATGCTGTGAAGGATGGAGGGTCAACAAAGAAGAGGAAGACCCTCAACCAGGTGGACTGACATGGTGATTGCTGCAATGGACTCTTGTGTGTCATGAAGTGTGAGGAAGATGCAGGATAGAGAAGAGGTCAGATCTTTTGTTCACGGGATTGCTATGAGTCGTACTAGACTCAACAGTACCTAACCACCACCACCACCACCACCACCACCACCATTTTCGTGCTTGCAGACAGATTCTTACACCACTAGGATGACTTTTGCAATGAAGCAAGAAATAAAGTTCATCAGCTAAGAGTAGGGGAGGGGAAGAAGCAAAAGTACAAATTGGCATCATTTAAAAGTTGTTGTTGTTGTTATGTGCCATCGAGTCATTTGCGACTCATAGCAACCCTATGTACAACAGCCCTAAACCGTGCTCTATCCCGTGCCAATCTCATTGCCTCTGACACACCCATCCCGATTACCCCAGTCACTGAATCAATCCACCTCATAGAGGGTCTCCTGCACTGTCCCTCTACTCTACCCAGCATGATGTCCCTCTCTAAAGACTTGTCTTTCCTTACAACATGTCCAAAGTATGTCAGGCGAAGCCCCAGAATCCTTGCCTCCAAGGAGCAGCCTTGTTTAACCCTCTCTAGGATGAATCTGTTTGTTTTCTTGGTAGTCCATGGTACATTCAATACTCTTCTCCAGCACCACAGCTCAAAGGCGTCAATTCTCCTTCTATCCTCCCTAGTCATTGTCCAACTCTCTGATGCATAACAAGTGATTGCAAAGACCATGGCCTGTATCAGGCACACCTTAGTCTCCAGAGAGACACCGTTGCTCTTGAGTACTTTAGAGAGGTCCCTAATCGCAGACTTTCCCATCACAATACATTTTTTTATTTCCTGGCTACTGGTGCCAAGATACTGTCTTGCTCTTTTATACCTTATGTAAAACACAAACACACACACACACACACACACACACACACATTATGATGTAAATCCAGCAAAGAGGTTGGAGCTCAACTTCTCTTCTCACATGAATATGTGCTAGTCAGCAACTCTCAACCATAATTTTCTTCTCTGTAAAATAGGGATCAAAACCTTCATTCGTTTTGTGAATTTTCTGTGGGATTCAAATGAACAACATACATAAAAGTCTTTTGTAAAGCAAAGCAGTATCGTTCCAATGCAAGCTCTATTTCCTCTCACACAATATATTGCCACCTGTTTTGCAATGGTTATCTGGAGGTTTAAATAACATTTATTGTATCTAGTTGGTATTGTTGTCACATAGCCTCTATGTTGCTAAATATTATAATCAATGTATTAGAGAAAATACTTAGCTGATATGACAATGTTAGAACATTTGTATATAGGAATATTTAGAATATTTGGTATATAGGAGAGTACTCAGATCTTCTCGAGTAAAACAAGTCATATGTGTTCTTTTATTTGGGTTTCTCTTTTAGAATTTATTTCTTTTCCTTCTTTCAAAAAAGTATATGAGGCATGTTGTATGATTAAACAAAAAAATAAAGGATAATTACCATGAAAATAAAATTAAATCCACTGAATGAAGAAAGAATTTCAAAGAACAGAAGAGTGTTAGCAAACACCTGGAATGGGTTAGTCACTGCATTTAAAGCAATTAGTGTTGAAAAACATCAATATTTCTCCTTCCTTTGTGTTGTCTTGTCTTTAGTGTATTCAAGAATGGAAAGGCACTGTCTCATTTCACATGTCAGCCTCTTGGAATTGTATGTGTTCTAAATGTTAATCAATTTGATCTCTGCATTTCACAGGGATTGTGTGTGCACTATTTAGAGTAACTCCTCTTCACTGACCTAAAAGTGTCATCTCCTTTGGAATGACTGCACTCAAGCTGCACTCAATCTTGAGGCAAATGTGCTTTAAAATCATGATACATTAATTGTTACACTACTGCAGAAATTCTCCTAGAAAAGAATATTACAACCTCATTAAAACCACATTATTTTATCATGATTTACAGTGAAGGGACTAGGAAATAAATTATTGAGTAACTTCTTATTAACACAAAAGAAGTCTGTCACACCAAATTATACACTGTAGTTAAAGGCATCAAGAGCAGAGTGTACAAAGATGATCTCTAGTCCAAATGCTTCCACTACTCAGAAATACTCATAAGCTTCTTTGAATGTGGTATCTGCAAAAACAGCAAGAGCTTCCTACTTCGGCTTCTTTACAAACTGTTTATTCATAAACAAGGCTACAAAACTGCAGAAAAGTTGTTACAAGAGGTAAGTGATTGACATAGACAGACAGAGCCTGGGACATATGTATGAAGGAAAAGCAATGAAGCTCCAGCCACTTTACCATTATTTAAGACTTGAACTCCTATTGATACAAATGCAAAATGTGAAAACAAAGGAAATCGGCAGCTATGAAACACCTAGCTATCTGTCAGTACACTTCATGCATCTTCGTATTGCTATTCAGAGCTCCTTTTTCAGCAACATATTTTTAAAGATGAAGAAAGAGGATCAGAGGGTTTCAAGAATTTGCCCGTTAGTTAGGAAGAGAATTA